GTAGAAAAGAGAATTAACTTATTTTGTGGCTTCATTTCTACTCTGACCAGTAGAAATGTTCTCATTCTTTAACAGCTTATTAGTTAATTTAGAATAATTTTATTATCTTGTACATATTTCTGAGTAACAGCAATTGCAAAAAAGGACAATATTTTGAGACAAAACTATAGGGTTTAAAATTTAAAAACCAGCCCAAAACTAACAGATAAAACCTCATATGTGAAATTTTTGATATATGTGGCAGCTAAAGGTTGTGTTAGAAAATGAGAAGAATCTTAAAGAAGTGGGATTGATGTTAAAGGATGTAATGACCCTTCCTTTATACATATATAGTCTCTATGCTGACAAACTCGGGTATTATTCCAAAAGCCTTGTGCAAATAATAATACTACTCTTAAAATGAAAGAAAGAAACTGTTCACACACACAAAACATAGTTTAAAAATTGCTGTTTTAAGGATTATAGTACTTACCAGCATTTATATCTACCTTTTTCTATTTTTTTAATATATAAACAGACATTTTTCTCCTTGCCAGAGAAACTTCTAAAATATTTTGTTGTTACTTCTCCAATCTAGAACAATGAGAAAGTGTCTGCTGTTGTTAGTGATCTCAGCATTATAATGGAATCCAGAGAAGATTCAAATATGAGCAAGTTTGTTTCAAGGTAAGATGGAATTTTTTGCTCAAGGCAAGTTATTGTTTGGAATATGAGATACTAAATGCAGTACTGAGTTCTTATGTAAATTGCTGGCAGTCAGTGTCTTTATGTGACGTGTCCTGAGCCCAACCTAAACACTTCCTATCCCTCATCTGTATCCTGATAATTGTTCCTCAGATGTGTATGTAAGCTGCAGATGTGCAGTGTGGGTAATGCCTAAAGTGCACATCCAGAACCCCTCTCCAGTATTTGCCTGTTTCTGATTCTCAGTTCTCAATTCCTTTTCTCTTATTGGCATCAGGATTTATTTCACTAATATCTGAAAAGTATATAATTTAAAAACATGAAATAGTGTATCTGTACAATGGTTTAAGAAAATTAGCATACTAAAATTTAAATGTTAAATGAATGCCGTTTTTTATTATTTTCTGGAGTATGCCAACTTCTTGTGGTAACATTATGAGTAAATGATCAAATTATTTGTCTGCAGTATTCCACTGAATTTCGCTAGGAAGCTGTTCTGAGAACAAATCTATTATCACTGAGTAGTTGATTTAATTCTTCTTTTTTGTTTCTTTTGTCTTCTGTTATTTTTTTGGTCTTGGGGAGGGAGAGGAAGGCCCAACAGATGGGTGAAGGGAGAGGTCTATTGAGTTACCTCAGACTTCAGTAGACTACTGAAAACTGATTTTTTTACTTAAAGGCTTTGAGATTTCCATAAAAACCTATTAAAGGCTGTGGTGTAACTGGGAAGAACAGTTGACTGCTCTCAAGAAGTGGGATTTAGAAGAGGAAATTGCCCTGTTTTATTCATGAGTATTTTATGACAGCAGAAGTGTATTGGAATTTAATAGTCACACTGGAAGGGAACGTGTTGAAGTAGTGGCAGACTTTATTTCATCCTGGCTGGAGCAATGCTGTCTCATCCCTGCCTCTTCTCCTTTTTCACCTTGTGCCAGTAATAAATAAATACAAGTTTTCATGAATGATGGAAGTTGTCAACAAAGCAAGCAGTGCCTTCTTCTGAGCCTCCCTTTGCACATGCCACCTGTTGGCTTGGTGTCTGCAAATAACCTTGTAGCCACGTGGCTAATAGTATCAGTGGGGTCAGTAGGTTGAAAAATATGGGAAATTTGGGGGTGGGGAACAACTCCATTTTGTTCCCTCACAACACCTTCAAATTTCATTTTTCCTGCGTGCCTTGTCCTGGCCACAGTGTGTGCTGGCAGTGCCTGTTCGAGAGCACCCCCTGCTCCATCGCCTGAATTTGTGATGTCCCTTCAGGGCCTGTTTGCTCAATCCCCTTGTTGGGCTGCTCCTCATTTCTTTTTCCAAGTTGTAATCCCCTCATGTCCAGTTTCAGACTTTCCCCAACTAGGCCTTTGTTCTTTAGTCTATTCCTAAAATTCCTACCTCTTCCCTGTTTTTCCCTCCATTCCTGACCAGCTGAATCTGGTCTGTTTTGTTCATTTTCAGCCTCCCTACCAATGTGTTTTCTCCTTTCACTTCCTTGGCCCAGTCTTGCCAAATCCATTATCTAGTTCTGTTCTGTTTTGTCTCCTGGCTGGGATTTTTTTCCTCCTCAGTTTTCTAATTTTTTTTGGCTTTGTTTTTTTTTCATATTACGTGTCAGAAAATGCTCTTTAAGAGCAGCAGAGTTCAAAATTTGGCATTCAGTTCCCGCTTTAGAAGAAAATAGAGGAATGCTAGAACACTTGAGCATTATCTTTTTAAGTAAAGCAAAATTCAATAGTGTGCAGGTACTGCTGCTATATACAAATAGTACATCTCTATATAAGAGTTGTACATTTTAAAAAGTGGATATATTATTATAGAATTTCTTTAATAACTTGTGACAATAGCAGATGTATGCAAATGGAATCACAATATTTGTCTTTTTTGTATTTCACTTGTGTCCCCTTGATACCAGTTATCACTTAATGTTATACTTTACTACTGTTGAGAATCACAACATCTAAAAAAAAACTCTTATTAATCCTTTTTCCTTTTTTGACTTGACACCCCATTAATTGTTGGGGGAGTTAACCTTTGCATGGATTACTCAGGCAAGTAGAGATTTTAAGCAGTATGAAAATTGCTCTTTCTTTTTACTAACTAGTTAGAATCTGTAAATCAGAGTGCAAGATTTAGGAAATATGTATTATATTAAATGCTGCATGGGCAAGGTCTCTTGCAAATGAAGTGAAGCAGGAATTCTGCCCCCAGCTTTGAATGGTGCTTTGGTTTTCTATGTTAATGTAGGAAGTCTTGCATTCTGCAGTCACTTAAAATAGATTTCTCCCTTAAAATAGGTAAAGGAACACATTAAAGGAGGCTTAGGTACTTTTACAGCAGTTAGATTTCTTACATACTTCTGTGTTTTGCTGCTATTTTGTGAAAGTGAAAGGATGTTTGGATGAAGAGCCCATTTTAACCTAATTTTAACCTGACAGAGTTACTCTCTGCCTGAATATCCTTCTAGCTGGTTTTGGATGACTTCTCTGTAACATGGATGTTGGTGTTGGAGACAAGTGTTTTCTGTTCCACATGGATTTTTGTAATGCTAAATTCTTTCAAAGTAAAAAGCAAAAAACAAACTTGAATTTTACCATCCACTCTCTTACTTCTTTGTTATTTTATACCATGTTTTCTTGGTATTTTAGCATTTAGTGTAGTTGACTTCAGCAGGAGGAATTAAGCTAATTTGGGCTAATTAGGAATTACTGTTTATGGGTAGATTCAATGCTGTGAGAGTTCACTGTGCTCTTATGCATTCTCTTACTCTTTTGCCTATATGGATCTACAAACAGCTATTCTTGCCAACAGATTCCTCCTTTCTAAATACTGAGTTCAGTTTTCTCTCTTGAAAGTGCTATGTGAGAAAAGTACATCCTCAGATACATTGCTTCTATATTTGATACTGATTCTTTGAACTTCTTCACAAAACTTTTTCTTCCTGTTGATGATCTAGCCTTGAAAATTCTCATCTGCTGCATCACCTAAAAATTACTTTGAGGCAAAAAAATAAATAAACTAAAAACAATGCTAAAACAAGGTCAAAATGTGGATATTTATAAAAATTGCTAAGTCCTTAAAAAATAATTTGAGCTTTGTAAAAAAGCTTTGTGTTATTCTATTCCACAAACAAGTGGAGATTGAAAAGGCCTGGTGCAGTTTGTGTGGAACCTGTTCTCCAAGCATGGAGATGTGGGCAGCTGTTACCAGGGATCCACAGTTCCTATAGAATGTGTAGACTTTGATATGTACAATTCAGAGTTGTGGTTAAAAACAGCTCCCAGACCAGAGCTAAGAATCTATTGTAAATCAGTGTGTCTGTGTTCCAGGGACTCACTTTTCCCAGTGCTGCCAGCATTTTTTTCATCTTGGCCTAATTTTGTTGGCAGCTGTGACTACTGTGGTAACTTCCTTTAATGATGCTGTTCTTTCCAGGCTAGGATAAAGCTTGTTTGGCTTTTCTTTCACATTTTCAATATCTGAATGACCTTAATGTATTTTTTTCCCAGTTTCTTTATGCAACATGTTGAGGTCTGCTGTCCCTGTATATTAAATAGAGCTGGATTGGAGGCACAGTTCTCCCTGGGAAGGTTGAACTGACTTGGTAATCTACTGCTGCAGCCATTCTGCAAATGCCTCCAGTCTCTGATCTCAGCTGTTCTGAAAATCCAAAAAGAATAGCTAATCTCAAACAGAAAGTACATTACAAGTCAAATTTACATTAGAATTTAAATACTTTAATTTCCTGAAATATTCCCAGACATCAGGCAAGTATCTTCATCAGTCAGGTTTTGTAAACTTTTAAAATGGTGTATTAGTAACCAAAATCAATATTTGTACTTCCAAAGCAGTGCTTGCCAGGTGTATTTTGATGATGGCTAATAGTCTGTGGCTTCATATCAACAATGACATGAAGCCATTCACCCTTATGGTTAAATAATCATGTTACTTCAGCTATGGTGACATGTGGTTTTGGTGGAGTTTAACATTCTGTGTGCATTTGTTCAATGAAAACTGCACACCCTTTATGAGCTTTTCCTCCTTTCCCCAGCAGCTCTGGGTGTGCTGACAGTTTGTCACCTTATATTATATATGTATCTTTTCCTTTCTCTATCCTGATCCTTACTAGAAATCTAAAAATTAAATATTTGGCTACCTTTCCTTCCCTCTCTCACCCCAGCATAAGAAGGAACAACACATGGTCCTGTGTTGGAGCAGGTCCAGAGGAGAGTTAGGAAGATGTTCAGAGGGCTGGAGCTCCTCTCCTCTGGAGACAAGATCACATCAAGATTTAACTAACAAAAGTTTTGGTTTAGATGCCCTTTGTGATCAGGCCTTCTTTTCTACTGAAGCTGCAAGGTTAATCTTGAAAAGCTGAAAGTAACATGTCACGTAGAGTTAGTTGGTTAGGACAAAGATTTTGGGAATATTTGAAGGTTAGTGATACAACTTGAGAAATCTTACCAATTTGCAGGTCCAGATTTTACTATGCAACCTCTTAGAATTTATTTAGAAAACAAGTTGAACAAGAATAAAATCAAGCTAAGAATTTGCAGGTGACTACTTTGTTCCTGCGTTTTACACATCAGACTAACATGAGAAACACTGGTTTAGGAATGTGTTCTTTAACCTCTTATTCCATTATTGCACTCGGCTTTTTTCAGCTTTGTCATTCTTATTTTGGATCATTTCTACTTCATATTCAAACAATACTAATTTTTTTTAAGTGTGACTTTTAGGCTGTAGAATTGATACATCTGATTAGCACTGTGTTAAACAATATATTTTTGTTTTATAGCACTGAAGAACGTGGAGATCTTCTAACATTTTTCAGAAGCCTTTTAACCTATGCTGAGTGGCACGAGCATCGTAGACGGACCTTCCTGCATTTCAAGGTAGTGTCTATCAAGCCTTTATTTATTATTACAATATTTATTGCTTTAAGAAGTTTATTAAGACAGAGCATTGGAGGTGAAACTGGCTGTCTTTATCAGAATATGTCATCTTAATTTTGTATGTGGTGGTAAAAATTTGTGTTGTGGTTATGGGGAAATTGAGCAGAAATTGCTGTGTTCCTCAGGGGTGGAGTAAAATAAGACTGTGCCTTTCTGTGAAGGAGTAAGACAGTTGCTTTGGTATTATATTCTATTTTGATTTTTTAAAAAAAGGATAAAGAAGAAATTAAAAGAAAATAACACTTGTAGTCTTTGGCATGTAAATGTTGGTTTTGAAGGATTAGATCTGTTTGTCTTGAAGATGTGTCAGCGTGTGTTTGGGTGACAGCACTTTCAGTTCTGGAGTGTTTTACTTGTATGGGAATTTGTTCCTCCCTCCTAACTGGAACATAGTACTTGAGCTTGGTTTTAAATTTGACTAATTGGTATTTGGCTTGTTTTTTTGGATTTGTGTTGGTTTTAAGATAAATAACTAATCCTTGTAGTAAAAATACTAGTCTTATAGACACAAAACATTTTATATGCTGCTTTATGTTAGAGAAGGATATTTAATTGTTTGTGGTTTCTTGGCTGTGTTTTATGTACCTCAAGAACTTACTGTCATTAAGCTCTACACCATCTTTTCAGCTGTAGTATCAAGTAGGAACTGCATAATTTCCTATTTTTTCAGTCTTTTAGGCCTTTGAGTTCCATTAATGAATTTATATTATCCAATCAACCAGAATAGAAAAAAGAGTTCTATTTTCTGACAATACTAAAAAAAAAAAATCCAATCCCCAGCTGAGCAATAAACTGGCATTGCCTAATCCTGCTGGATTTTATGTGAGGGTTTTTCTATGGAGGAATTAGAGAAAAGGTGGAGCACCAAGCTTCCCTTGATGCTTTCTGATCCTTACATCAGCAGTGACTGTGGTTTCTGGGACAGTGATTTGGTGAACTGTTGTAAATATTTCTCATTTAAAAAAACAAAAAAAAAGAAAACAGAAAAGAGATGGGTTTGGAGACAATTTTCAAATTGTTGTTAGATAAGCAGTTTTAAAAAGTATTTGTTCAGCTGTTGAGTATGAAAAATGAAAATGTCTACTAATTGCTAAAAGATGTGTGAAGATAATTCACTGAAGACCTTACAAGTTTGTCAGTATTACAGATGTTCTTTTTAAAGGTAGTTATATTTCCATGGGCAAATATAAGTATAAAGTTGAAAGGTAAATCAATTTGGGAGAATATTTACCAAATATGACTGACTGCGTGCTTATGAAGAGTATTTTAGGCCTTCTTATTTTTGTTAGCATTACTAATCATTTCATTTTGAAACAGAAGACTTTCTCAGATAAGAGGATTAATAATAGGGTTCAAGGATCAAAATTGACAATTCAAATAACAAAATTGACAAGGAGAATGTGTATTTGTAATTTAATGGTTTCAGTAATTTGTGGGAAAGCAATTAGACATATGTTGTTAATATATGCATAAAACCAACTCAAGAGTCTATCCTGTTAATATTCACACTTACACAACATTAGAAATGAGTCTGTAATCTTTGTATTTTTTTTCCCCCCCTACCTGCTCTTTAGACTCCCCTGTTTGGAGAGAAAACTTCTTTGGGGGGAGTCTTGGGTTTCTAGCTTTACTGTTAATCTGTTTATTTTTCAAAGATAATTGCCAAGGCTTCTATGTAGAAAAAAAAATTGTTTCTGATATTTTCTTCAGAGTGTAGTGTAAAAATACCAAAAGTAGTTTATTTTTTTCTTTCCTGTTTTGATACTTGAGAAGGAAGGGATAACATTGAAGTGGAGGAGTACTTTAAGTATTATTGAATGTTCTGAGATTAATGGCAATTCAAGGTCAATTCAAAATAGGTTTTGAAGGAGCAAAAATGGAGTGTTCCCCAAGTATTCTGTATGGCAGGTCTTGCTATTGTCACAATAAATAGGTCTGTAAAATGGATTTACATGTGCAAATAATCTTCTAGCCTTAGTGTGCTTGTGGCTGAACAACTGAAACATGTTGGCAAGGCTGGAAGAGCAGGTTGTTGAAGCTGATACTGATAAACNAGAGGGCTGGAGCTCCTCTCCTCTGGAGATAAGATCACATCAAGATTTAACTAACAAAAGTTTTGGTTTAGATGCCCTGTGTGATCAGGCCTTCTTTTCTACTGAAGCTGCAAGGTTAATCTTGAAAAGCTGAAAGTAACATGTCATGTAGAGTTAGTTGGTTAGGACAAAGATTTTGGGAATATTTGAAGGTTAGTGATACAACTTGAGAAATCTTACCAATTTGCAGGTCCAGATTTTACTATGCAACCTCTTAGAATTTATTTAGAAAACAAGTTGAACAAGAATAAAATCAAGCTAAGAATTTGCAGGTGACTACTTTGTTCCTGCGTTTTACACATCAGACTAACATGAGAAACACTGGTTTAGGAATGTGTTCTTTAACCTCTTATTCCATTATTGCACTCGGCTTTTTTCAGCTTTGTCATTCTTATTTTGGATCATTTCTACTTCATATTCAAACAATACTAATTTTTTTTAAGTGTGACTTTTAGGCTGTAGAATTGATACATCTGATTAGCACTGTGTTAAACAATATATTTTTGTTTTATAGCACTGAAGAACGTGGAGATCTTCTAACATTTTTCAGAAGCCTTTTAACCTATGCTGAGTGGCACGAGCATCGTAGACGGACCTTCCTGCATTTCAAGGTAGTGTCTATCAAGCCTTTATTTATTATTACAATATTTATTGCTTTAAGAAGTTTATTAAGACAGAGCATTGGAGGTGAAACTGGCTGTCTTTATCAGAATATGTCATCTTAATTTTGTATGTGGTGGTAAAAATTTGTGTTGTGGTTATGGGGAAATTGAGCAGAAATTGCTGTGTTCCTCAGGGGTGGAGTAAAATAAGACTGCGCCTTTCTGTGAAGGAGTAAGACAGTTGCTTTGGTATTATATTCTATTTTGATTTTTTAAAAAAAGGATAAAGAAGAAATTAAAAGAAAATAACACTTGTAGTCTTTGGCATGTAAATGTTGGTTTTGAAGGATTAGATCTGTTTGTCTTGAAGATGTGTCAGCGTGTGTTTGGGTGACAGCACTTTCAGTTCTGGAGTGTTTTACTTGTATGGGAATTTGTTCCTCCCTCCTAACTGGAACATAGTACTTGAGCTTGGTTTTAAATTTGACTAATTGGTATTTGGCTTGTTTTTTTTGCTTTGTGTTGGTTTTAAGACAAATAACTAATCCTTGTAGTAAAAATACTAGTCTTATAGACACAAAACATTTTATATGCTGCTTTATGTTAGAGAAGGATGTTTAATTGTTTGTGGTTTCTTGGCTGTGTTTTATGTACCTCAAGAACTTACTGTCATTAAGCTCTACACCATCTTTTCAGCTGTAGTATCAAGTAGGAACTGCATAATTTCCTATTTTTTCAGTCTTTTAGGCCTTTGAGTTCCATTAATGAATTTATATTATCCAATCAACCAGAATAGAAAAAAAGAGTTCTATTTTCTGACAATACTAAAAAAAAAAAATCCAATCCCCAGCTGAGCAATAAACTGGCATTGCCTAATCCTGCTGGATTTTATGTGAGGGTTTTTCTATGGAGGAATTAGAGAAAAGGTGGAGCACCAAGAGCTTTTGGTCTTTGTGATTGTTTTTCCCAGCTTCCCTTGATGCTTTCTGATCCTTACATCAGCAGTGACTGTGGTTTCTGGGACAGTGATTTAGTGAACTGTTGTAAATATTTCTCATTTAAAAAAAACAAAAAAAAAGAAAACAGAAAAGAGATGGGTTTGGAGACAATTTTCAAATTGTTGTTAGATAAGCAGTTTTAAAAAGTATTTGTTCAGCTGTTGAGTATGAAAAATGAAAATGTCTACTAATTGCTAAAAGATGTGTGAAGATAATTCACTGAAGACCTTACAAGTTTGTCAGTATTACAGATGTTCTTTTTAAAGGTAGTTATATTTCCATGGGCAAATATAAGTATAAAGTTGAAAGGTAAATCAATTTGGGAGAATATTTACCAAATATGACTGACTGCGTGCTTATGAAGAGTATTTTAGGCCTTCTTATTTTTGTTAGCATTACTAATCATTTCATTTTGAAACAGAAGACTTTCTCAGATAAGAGGCTTAATAATAGGGTTCAAGGATCAAAATTGACAATTCAAATAACAAAATTGACAAGGAGAATGTGTATTTGTAATTTAATGGTTTCAGTAATTTGTGGGAAAGCAATTAGACATATGTTGTTAATATATGCATAAAACCAACTCAAGAGTCTATCCTGTTAATTCACACTTACACAACATTAGAAATGAGTCTGTAATCTTTGTATTTTTTTTCCCCCCCTACCTGCTCTTTAGACTCCCCTGTTTGGAGAGAAAACTTCTTTGGGGGGAGTCTTGGGTTTCTAGCTTTACTGTTAATCTGTTTATTTTTCAAAGATAATTGCCAAGGCTTCTATGTAGAAAAAAAAATTGTTTCTGATATTTTCTTCAGAGTGTAGTGTAAAAATACCAAAAGTAGTTTATTTTTTTCTTTCCTGTTTTGATACTTGAGAAGGAAGGGATAACATTGAAGTGGAGGAGTACTTTAAGTATTATTGAATGTTCTGAGATTAATGGCAATTCAAGGTCAATTCAAAATAGGTTTTGAAGGAGCAAAAATGGAGTGTTCCCCAAGTATTCTGTATGGCAGGTCTTGCTATTGTCACAATAAATAGGTCTGTAAAATGGATTTACATGTGCAAATAATCTTCTAGCCTTAGTGTGCTTGTGGCTGAACAACTGAAACATGTTGGCAAGGCTGGAAGAGCAGGTTGTTGAAGCTGATACTGATAAACAAGGACAAAAATTCAAGTTTTATTGGAAATACAGAACAGAAATGAGTGATAGGAAAAAACAGAACAGTTTACATTCAGCTTGATATTAGTACTGGTCACACAAATAGGAGGTGGAAATCCTCCCTACTGAAGCTTTTTTCACTTCATGTTTTTGATTAACTTGCTGTGGATAGGGAAAGTGAAGTAAAACACATCAGAGAACTTGGAGCCTGCATGAGGCATTCAGAAAGTACCACTTGTCTACTTTGGTTCGCTCAAAGTGTTAAGAGCATTAATTAGCATTGCTGATGATAATTAGTAGGTTTCAAAAATATATACAACATTTTAATG